CTGCCATGCATGTGTGGCATGGCACAAGGTACAATTGCTGGGATTAGGGATCAGATCCCACAGCGCCATTCAATGATTATGAGCTAGAGGCCTTAAGAGACTTTCCAGCCCTCAGGATTGTGAAGAAAAGAAGTCTTGAGACTTAGAAAACAAAAGAAAGAAGAGCTGTAACCACGATCATTATTTATTTTGGCTTAAAAATCTGTTTTTTATTACTTTGAGGCCTGATTTCATTTTTGAATGGCTGAAATTGGTCCTGTTGATTATAATGGGTTAAGATTAAAACTTACGCTTGCCTCTACACAGTTATATTGAAATGTTTTTTATGCCTATCAAGGACGATAATAGATTTTTTTCCTACGTGTGAAATTAATTAGCCATAAAAATTTGCTTGCTTGATGGCACTGACGGTATTTAAAAGAATTGAATGAACAAACTACATGCCTTCTGGGGCTATTTACCAAGCCCCATAGAAGTCATGCACCCCATCAGGAAGCAAAATCTTTCAGGGGGCAGAGTTACCCAATGTACTATATTATTGTTCAGACAAAGTGAAAAAAGCTATTAGGATAAATGTTAGTCTTGCTAAAATGTCTCTGCTGCCCTTGATATACGATTATCAGATTCCTGGCTCTCAATTGCCTTTTCCACTGAATAGACACATTTACAAAAGGTTTTCCAGCAGAACTAGAAAAAGGGAATATGCGCGTTTCCCTGCTCTCACTTATTTACTGCTTCTCTATAAAGAAAGCTTGGTCCTATTGCATGTATCTCATACTGAAGGCTTGAGTCCTTGATTCAAATGTCCCTCAAAGTAGTAGATTTCTGAGCAGCCTAATCATTCCAGTTACCTGCTTTTGTAATGGGTGGGACCAAAGTCCAGAGCACTCTTGAGCACTCCTCAACTCTGTCAAAGTTTAGATCCTTAACAGACTTTGACCTCGGTGCAATTAAATTGAAGCCTGCCTTGTTAGTGTGCCAGATCCTTCCAGTCAATGCCATTTCTAAGAAGTAGAAAACTAATCTACGTTATGTATAAAACGCTAGAACCGTTATTGGTGTTCTGTGCACTGCAAATGGTCTTGTGGTAGTTGCAGTGAAGATGCACAACTCTGCAGAAACCTAGCCCAGGATCACTGAATCACACAAGTGCTACTTAGCTTTACTTTGCTTGGGCAGTGCATATACTTTGTGTTAAGCTGTTGATACAGGGAGACATTTCATCCTTTGGTAAGTAAAAAATCAGATTTATTAAATTTGCAAGTGAAAAATAGAAAAGATTGCTTTCTAACCCTGCACTTTGAAAAGTAGCCTACACCTTGAAAATACGGGTGCTTCCTTTCTTTCTCAATGTTATTATCAGTAGTATTGTTTAAATAATGGATATTTTGAGGGAAGGAGAAGTGGGGTTATTGACTTAACCAAAATCCTGACCAACATGAAGCAAGTTGTTTAATCCAAAATGTTTCCTCCCCTTGCTCCTTGGGTTAATCCTTTTTACACCTTATTTAAAAAAAAAAATATATATATATATCCATTTTGAAACTAAAACAAATCGCTTTGAATTTACGAACATTTTCCCTCCTCTCCCCCCTTTTATTAAGGCAAAATTTCCACTGTTGCACTTTTGTTTTCCTCGATAGCAGAAAGCATGGTTCTCTTCCTTACATCTCTCAAGGAGATTTTTAAAAAACTTCTTCCTGTCCCTTCAGTGTCAGGACACTGTCTCTCTTTGCTTTATCTACAGGAAGCTAAAAGGGGGTTTCTGATATTAGTGGGCTGTGTGCCTGGCAGTTGTGACAAGAGGGTTGTTCATGCAGTTTTAAGAATAAGTTAGACAAACGTTTGTATAGGATGGTGTGAACAGTGATGTTCCTGCCTTTGGCAGAAGCTGGAGTAGATCACCTCCCGAGCTCCCTTTCTTCTATGAATTTGACTCAGCTTTGTGAATAGCTTCAGCACACCTAAAACTTAATTTTTGGGGGTGTTCCAGAGAAATGGGGGGAAGGGGTGGAACCGTGACCCTGATCTCTACTAGTAAAGAGCCTGCAGACTGGATTCTGCCTTGAGATACGCCTGTGCAGTTACATGGGGATAGATCCTTGGTTAGTGTACGTTGGTATTGATTGATATTACACCAGCTGAGAATCTAATGGTCTTCGAAATAGACATTCAGTGAAACTTCACTCAGTTCAGCTGCATACACTGGATTTACAGATGTGCAACTGAAGGCAAAACATGGTCTTCATATCAGAACTACTTTGACAACTCTGTCGATAACAACACTTAACAAAGGATCTCAGTCCCAACTCAGTCTCTCACAGGTAGCAATGCTCTGTAGCAACGACAACAAGTGGTTGTGCCTCTGAATACACCTATGGAGCAGATCTGAATCAGTCTGTAACATTTTTGCCTAGTTATTTGTCTATGAAATATTCCATAGGAAGACAACAGATTCAACATTGCTTGGAACATAACATTACCTGGGTCTGCTAGATATTCATAATCATAGCCCAGCTCCCTTGATGGGGTAAAGAATTCTCCATTTCTGTAGAGAGGAATAAATGGGACCATGTAATATTCACGATTGTGTCCAATGGGCGCATTGGCTGCAGGGTAAACTTCTTGAAGGGGTCTGTGTCTTCTAAGCCACTGCTCAAAAATACTGTAAAAGAAAAATGACGGGCATTATTGTGCATATTGCAAATAGACAGTAATTATCCTTGTTCAAAGCAAATTGGAGGTGTGTACCATCCTACCAAGGCAATAGGGTAAGCATTTTCCATTTAGTAGGTGTTCACTTATATCCATAAGTCCCCATACAAAGTACAAGCTAGTGCAGAATCACAGTATGTAATGCTATACAGATACTGGTTATACTTTATAATTCAGGGACTATAATTACACTGCAATCATAGTGTAATTACACTGTGGTTGTGCTTTCTGATCAGTAATTACCACTAATTTGCTGAATGTTAACTATAGGACTGAATTAACTGTTTCATAGTTAATAGATGATGTGTTCTGTAGAATTGAGGCTCATTAGCTACTTTTGATGATGATGTAGGTCCATCTGTCATTTCATTAACCATCCATTTATGATAAGGAGGTGATAAGGTTGTGACTAGCATATTTTTAACAGCTATTTTTTTTTAAGTAATCCCCAGGTTGACTCTGATTGTCTCGAAAATTGCTGAGTCTCACGAGAGCTTGGGGAAGGGTTACTGGTCCAAATAGGAGGTTGTTTCAGGAAGGGATTCTCAGGGGAGCACCTCATTAGAAATCATGTGATGTCAAGAGGTTGTGGTTATTATAGCTCCCCCTGTCCCCGCACACACACACACATACACACCTGCACTCAAATTATGAATCTGATTGTCTCCAAACCAAGAGTAGCCACTGAAGACTGATCTGAGCTACTGTTTGGAACTGCTTGCTCTCCTTGGAAAGCAGTTGTAGTTTGTTTGCTTTTAATATATTCAGGATGAAAGTTGTTTTTCTAATGTAGCTACAGCCAGGACATGAGTCCTGTGCATGCAATTGAATATGATCCTAGTGCATGCCTGGGTATTTTCAAGGCAGGCTGAGTCAATGATAACCTGTAAGCACTGACTCCAACCAGCACTTACGCAGGTTTGAGTTCAGCCTTTTACATACGTAACAACCACCTCCTCCTTTGCTGCCATCTCCTGCAAGAACCGCATTAAGACTGAAATACCATCTCCTAAACCAGTAGCAATGTATTCTAAAATACCTGTGCTCTGCATGCTCTGATTTCCTTGAGGAACAAGTGGCAGATGAAAACAGTAGGCAGTAATATTGGAATGCTGTAATCATGCTGCGTACTCCTCTTCTGTTGTTGAATAATAGGATTAGAATAGTACAGTTTTGACTCCCATCAGCATTTACATGATCAAAAAGCTTTTGCACATCAGGAACAGTGCTCATACTAGCTCTTTTCTAAGCACTGGCCTTGTAAGGACCAGTGTGCAGGCAGTCTGGCCTAGTGTGCCACCAAGCAGGGCCAGAGACAGGAGCTGGGGGGAACCCAGAGCTACCCAAACTAAGATGGAACTGCAGAATCAGAGTCCAATTTACAGGCCAAGTCAGAACAAATTACCAAATGCAAAGGGGAAATCCAAGGGCAGAGTCCAAGTAACAGGCTCGGTCAGGATTCTGGAGTCAGGGGCTGAGTTTACCAAAGCCAAGTTAGAATTTCCAAAGGCCACAGTCCATAAGTAGAGCAGAGCAGGGTCAGAAATCAGAAAACCAAAAGCCATAGGATGCAGGGAGGCTTACCACAGCAGCCCTTCAAGCAGAACTGTTGGCTAGCCTGCAGTCTGCTGCCACAAGTGGATTTAAGGGGGGAGGCTGCTATGCTAAGCAGCAAATCGGGAGGCTGTAACAGGGTGAATTGGTTTATCACCTGGGGTGTGGATGCTGGTTAGAGCAGGGGTGGGCAAAATACGGCCCGTGGGCCATATTCCAGCCTGTGAGGCCCCTAAAAAATTTAGAAAATTAATATTTATCTGCCCTCGGTTCCTGTAAAAAATGATAGAAGCCAAGGGCAGTAGGACCCAGGGGAAGCCCGGTGGGCTTCCACAGCAGCAGGGTGCACCCAGCCCCACCCCCGAAGCTGGAAGCAAATGGGTGTCCCGGCCGGAACCACAGGTAAGGGGGAAGGGCAGGGGAGGACCCTGGGCAGGGAAGGAGCCCAGGGAAAAGTGTCCCAGGGAAAAGCTGAGTGCGGGCGGGGGGAAAGTGGCCCCTCACCTGCCCCGTGGCCAGCACCCTACACTGCAGCTGCTAACAGCCCATGGGGCTGTCCAGAGCAGGCAGAGACAGGCCCAGGCAGGCTGCGAGTGGCTGCAGTGTGGGGCATCGGCCACAGGGTGGGCAAGGGGCCACTTTTTCCCTCCCCATGCTCAGCACCACCTTGTAACCCAGCCCCACTGACAGCCTGGGCCCTGCACTGGCTCTGGCCTCATCTGGCAGGGCTGCACATGGTGACAGCAGTTGTGGCCCCCCCACTTGCAGCGCCAGGCGGTGTTTGCCACTGCTGCCTGTGGGCTGCCCAGTGCACAAGCTCCGGCCAAGCAGCAGCAGCCACCACTGCCTGGCGCAGCAAGCGGGGGTGAGGGGGCCATAGCTGCTGTTGCTGACAGGTGAGCCCGGAGCCGGCTTGAAACCCAGGCTGGCAGCGAGGCTGAATTACAAGCTGGTGCTGAGCACAGGGAAAAGCGGCCTCTTGCTTGTCCCATGGCCAGCATCCCATGCTGTAGCCACTTGCAGCCTGCGTGGGGCTGCCTTTTCCTGCTCCAGACAGCCTGCATGGGCTGCGAGTGCCTGCAGCAGGGAGCGCCAGCCATGGGGCGGGCGAGGGGCTGCTTTTCTCTGTGCTCAGCACCAGCTTCTTGCCTGCTGGCGAGCAGGGGGTCGGGGCTGTGCGCTGCCCCCCACCTGTACTGCAGAGATGGGGGGCACTGGGTGTAAGTGGGCATAGGAGCCAGCGGGAACATGGGGCCCGCACTGGTGTCCTGGGGCCAGTGCCGGTGGGGCCCAGAGCAGGGCGGCAGGAGCGTGGGATCCCAGCTGGCAGGGGCTCTATGGAGCTGGGCCAGCTGCACCCCCTCCCTGCTGGTGCAGGCCAGCCCGGCTCCACAGACCCCTGCTAGCCTGTGCCCCGCATTGGGCCCCACCGATGCTGGCCCTGGGACATTGGTCCCAAGACATTGGGACATTAGTTCCAAGATGGTGACCAGGGGGCGGGGCACATGTCAAGGGGTGGGGCTACCCATGTGGCCCTTGACAGCCTGCCAAAACTGGGTAAGCAGCCCTCCGCCCAAAATAATTGCCTGCCCCTGGGTTAGAGCTTCTGGCTGGTTTGGCCAACTGGACAATTAATCCCAGTTAGGCTGCCTGTTAGGGCCCCTGAAAGTCATAAAGTACACTTTGGGCACACCTACATGAGCAGTGGACTGCACAGTTGTTACTACTAAGTCATTTAGTTATTGCTTAAGGAGGTACTAAATGATTGTGAAGTATCTGATGTCACTGTGCAGTCCCAACACCACACGGGTCATTTCTGACGCTATTGTGCAGTAGCATTGACATCATGGTTCATGCCCACTGACCCTACATCACCAAAGCAATGAGCTACAGAAGCATAGCTCATTGCTACAGTGACATAGCATCTCGTGTAGATGTGCCCACTGTATGTTGCAATGTCGGGAGAGAAAAAGAAAGTGGTAACTTGCAACATGAAACATAGATATAGAAACCAATATTCAAGATTCTCTTATAATTCAGGTCAAAACAAGGGATTGTGCTTACCCACTACACCCTCAAAGTGCTTGGGTAAAGCATCTGAAGGCAAGATTAGATATGGGCGTTTCAAAAATAGTCATAGGAAACAGCAAATTATAACCCTCCACATACAAATTTCTACTGAAAAATTGAGTTGTGCACATGTAAACATTTAAAAATTATGCTTCAACTCCAAAACCAGAAGAAAGTATAACTGCAAAATCTACGTGCATAAAGCTAGACACTGGTGTGCTGTATCAGCTCTGTTGGTGTTAACATAGAATCATAGAGAGGTAGGGCTGGAAGGGACCTTCAAAGGTTAGTCTAGGGCAGGCAATTATTTCAGCTAGAGGGCTGCTTAGTGACTTTTGTTGAGCTGTTGAGGCCACAAGGGTAGCCCTGCCTCTTGACAGGTGCCCCAGCCTGATCATTATTTTGGGACTAGAAGTCCCATCCCTAACCCCTAACATTTGCCACAGAAGTCCTTCTCCTTGCCCTCAAAAGTACTTCTGGAATGGGTGTTTGCTATCTTGGAACTGGAAAAAAACCAACAAATAATATACTGAAAAACAAACATCTACTATAACATATTTTAAATTTATTCTAAAAAAATATTTTTGTCCTGATTTATGTACGTTTGCATAGTATATGTGCATGTGTGTGTATATATATAGAGAGAGGATTGCATAATAGCTCAAAATAAAGTCTTACTCTTGTATATTGTATGTGGGGTGTCACGTGTATGT